ATCCTGGCAGGTTGACCAGTGGCCCCTCTTTGCCTGGACTTTCAGTGCTTAAACCAGGACAGTCCCAGTCAAGTCAGGATGCTTGCCACATTAGTCTGGCCACCTCAGGTCTGCACAGCCCTAGTCCTGATCCTAACCCCCTCAGGGAACTCTTGGTAAGAAAGATAAGCCAAGCCTCAGCCCCTGGGTCCAAGAAACACAGGAGAAAACCAGTAATCAGAGGAAGAAAAGGGGAGCCAGGGATTGGGATGGGTCAGAGTGAGAGAGTGGCCTGAAGGCAAGGATTCTGAGTCAGGTCGAGGCAGAGAAAGCAGGAAAAGTGGAGAAAAGATGATGGGACCCAGGTAGGAAGCAGCAATGGTGTGGGGAAGATCCTTGAGTTGGGTATCTCAAAACCTGGACTTCTGCCAGCTCCTGGTCCCATGACTTGGACACTTAGCTCCTTGAGCCTCAGTTTCCTAGTCTGCAGAAAAAGGATAATCACCCTAGCTTCACAGGGTGACTCTAGTGAATAACTGAGATCAAATATGGAAACTCCAGAGAGTCATACAAGTGGGTTCAGGCACCCCTGCCCCCTCACCTCCACATAGCCTTTCCTGAAGACTCTAGACCACGTGAGCCAACTTGTCACCTGCTACGACACTTTTTGCATCACTCACTTTCAACTCTTACTATGAAGAATGCCCATAATTAAACCTTTCATGTGTGTCTCTACCGCCAACTAAACAGGAAGCTCAGGTTTACATTTACTCCCATACTGAACATGGGTACTTGATCAATTGTGATGAAATAGAAGAGGAACCCCCAGAAAACAGAATTTAGAAAACCCCTTTGGTCTCTAGCTATGACTAGCTGCCAGCATCCAGTGCCAACACCCCCGTCTAACTCCTGACAGCTGGCTGACCCCTGGTGAGCTTCTATCACTCCCTTGAAGGGCTGGAGCAACGGGAGCTCAGCAAATATTACTATCTGAGCCTTTGGTGTTGGCTGAAAACTATTCTACTCCCTCAGCACAAAAGAAAACTGGCTTAAAGTGAAACGAGAGATTTTACTTGTCCAGAAGATTGACCTGGGGAAAATGTTAGATAGTGGATGAGGTTTCTAAGGCAAATTGCTGTCCCCACAGAAAAACCCTTCAATTGGTTGGACAGCACAGAGTAATGGTTTCTAAACATGCTACACACTGGAATCACCTGAGGAACTTCAAAAACCACTGATGCCTCTATCCACCCATAGGGATTGGTTCATTCATTTGGGGAGTAGTATAGGCTTTGGAATTTTTAAATTCCAGGTGATTTAAATGGGCAGACAAATTTGGGAACCATTGACCTGGAGGAAGCAGAAGGATGATTGAGAATATTGAGATTCCATTCAGTCTGAGGACAAAAGAATAATGATCATAGCACTAATAGTCAACCTCTCACCAAGGGCTTTCAATGGACCAAGCACTGCACTGGTTCTGTAATGTGGATAATCTCATTAAATCTGTAAGTCAACATTATAAGGGAGGTATTCTTATTCTTACCCTCACTTTACAGATGGGAAAGAGGAGATTTGGAGAGATCAAGTATCTTATCTGAGAACTTACAGATGAAAGTGGTGGAATGGAGATTTGAACCCAGGCACCCCTACTCCAGAACCCACAGGTACTGCAGAAGAGGTAGGGTCTTTGGAGAGAGAGGTTCCCCGCCTCCTTTCCATATCTCTTCTCATCTGCCATCAGTGCGGTCCTTAAAAGGAAAGTAGGAAGTCAGCTGAGGGCTCCAGCTGGCCCTGCCTGTCTCCCAGGTACTGAAACCCAGGGCTGCCAAGAGGGTGAGGCCCAGGGCAGTTATCAAATACCAGATCACAGCCTCTGGAAGCAGTGGGAGGCAGAGTTTAAGAGAAGTTGCTGGTATGACTGGCTGAGGCAGTCCCTGCAAAACCCTCCCCATCTCACACTGCATCTCTTAGGTCCAGAGGTGGATATTACAGGACAGCAAGGAAGAGGGGCAGAACATGAGGACAGAGGCAGGACCCCTTGGTCAGAGAAAGGAATAGAGGGAGAATTTCACTACCAGTCCCAACTTGGGGAGGAGGGGAGAGATAAAGTCTTAGTGAGGTATGTGGGCCATTAATCTTGAAATCAGAGCCTTGGGGACCCTGAGCACCAGAGGGAGGCAGTAATGTGACAGGGATCAGGAAGAGCAGCCCCTAGAATGGATTTGAAATTCCTAGCCTGGGCTTCCCACACCCTTAGACCAATATTCTTCCTGCGGAGTATCAGACCTGGACAGATGACAAAGACCATCAGCCCAGCATCTTAATTTTATGAGAAGGAAATAGGCACAAAAAAGAAAAGGACTTGGTCAAGGCTACAGGGGAAAGTTGTTGGGGCAGCCAGAATTAGAGCTTGAATAGCCTCCCTCCCAATCCAAAAAAGAACCAGAGGCCTAGGAGAAATTCCTGGCAGCCTCTTGGCTTCTGAAGCCTGGGAGAAATGGGACCCATGGGGAACTCAACCTCCAGTTTCCAACAGGCCCTCCTGCAGGGATGGTAAGATGGAGCTAGGAAGCAGGAACATCCATGTGTTCTCCTGATTCTGGGTTAGAGTGAGTGTTAGGGGCAACAACTAAGGCCTCAATCTCCTCCTGAAGCCCCAAATCAGCCAGGACCCCACTTATGACATCCTTTTGACTAGAATGCCACCCTGCCCTGGAAACTAAGGATGAGCCTTTCATTCTCATAAAATCTGAGAAGTGTCCTTGGGCCAGAAGTCCTCACAAGGTCTCAGAACAGCCCTGTACATTCTCTTGGCCAAGGTCCAAAGATAATTTTTTTCCAGGCAAATTAACTCCTCCATCCAACATGTTGGAAGTCTCGACTATGTATAGACCTGTTTGTAAAGCTGGCAACTCTCTCTTGTCTCTGAGGCAGAGGGAACATCTGTGCAGACGTGGGCCTGAAGGGAAATAAAGCTGCTGGTTAGACGTGGATTAAATTCCAACAGGAACAGAAAGGCTCCTGCCATAAACAGGGGTTGTCTAGGCAGAGGATGCCATTATATGTTGGATCAGATTGAGAGACAAGAAAGACTCAAGGTCTCAGTGCTAGGTAGTGGTGGGGTGAGGACCAGAATCGCAAGTTCTTGGGGGAAATATGATGCTTGTGGGAAACGGCAAGTAGTTAGGAGGGATCATACCCAGGCAGCCTTATTTCAAAGTCTGGGTCTTACCACTGTACTTGCCGTTTCATGAGGCAATTTAGAGCGGCTTTGGCATTTGGCTGCTAGAGTTTGAATTATCTCCCTCTGGGTAAGTTCATTTCTCTTTCTTGCCTCTGTTTCCTCATTTGTAAAGTGGAAAGAAGAACACTGCCTACCTCTCTGAAAATTAAATGAGTTAATTCTTTAAGAACGGTTACCAGAGTGCTAGCAAATAAGAAAGCATCTATTTTCACAACTATTATGGTGCTACACAACATACACACATACCTGTTAACCAAATTGTATTTTCCATCCATCTTACCTTAACAAATGGGAAAGTCATTGTGAGCAGGAACATATGTATCTGTGATATATTGTGGTTTTTTGTTTTGTCTTGTTTTTAAAAGAAATTCAGCTTTTTTTTTTTTTTAGGCTACAGTGCACCGCATGTGGGATCTTAGCTCCCCAACCAGAAGTCAAACCTGCACCCCTTGCACTAGAAGCGCTGAGCCTTAACCCCTGGATCACCTGGATCAGGGGGGAAGTCCCTGTGTTATACTGCTAAGCCTACAAAAGATACAGAAAAGCTTTTCTTTAATAATATACTTAAAGGAAAATAGCAAGTTTTTAATCTGTTTGAAACAAGTCAAAAGTATCTCTTCTGTCCTTGGGCTAAAGGTGTGTTACACTGCATCACTGCCTGGGGGGATGTGTAGCCGACAGTGGGTTTGCTTTTGAAAGGTGAGGCTACACCCCCTTGGAGCACAGGCTGCGATGGGCAGTTGCCAGGCTTCTGTCTGTCAGCATCAGATTATTGCAGGTAAGCTTTTCACTTCAGAGCTAGAACATTCACTGTCAAAGCTGCAGTTGTCTGTTTTGTTTTTTTAGGCAGTGAGCATTTGGCAGCTGTGTGTTTACTTAGCAAAGAGTTTCTGGGATCACCAGAAGGTGTGTCCTCTCTGTTTATCCGACATTCTTTGTCAGTCTTCTATGCTGATGAGGACCACACTTTGAAGAGAAGGTACTCAGGCACACACTCACGTTTGTCTACCTGCATGCCCCTGGTTTGAGTCGAACCTCCCAGCCCCTGCACTGAACCTGTGTTCTACACAAGTCCTCCTGGGTCTGCCTCGATTCTGTGCTGTACCTGGGGTAGGGGTCAGGGGTGACCTGTCACGGGGCCATCCAGGGTCTTTGACAGCTCTCCTAACTTTATATTTGAAGGCCCCATGCTCAGATGGTAAAGAATTCGCCTTCAGCGCAGGAGACCTGGGTTCGATCCCTGGTTCAGGAAGATCACCTGGAGAAAGGAATGGCAAACCACTCCAGTATTCTTGCCTGGAGAATTCCATAGACAGAGGAGCCTGGCAGGCTGCAATCCGTGGGATCCCAAAGAATTGAACACAAATGAGATACTGACGCTTACACTTTCACCACATCATAGCAAATGTGCTAAAATACATATACAATTTTATGTTATAAAACACTCAAATTTTTAAAATTGCTTTTGAAAATATACGACTATCAGCAACTAAGTGAATTATGATGAGCTGTAATGACTGGACAATTTCAGACATTTCTGGAATGATTCAAAAGCAAGGAAATCAAACCTACAACTTTTTTTCAAGTGTAATGAAACTTAGGGCTGGCTGGTGCTTTCCCATAGGACCGTGAAACATGCGCTGGGGTGGAGACCCCTGCGGGACGGGGGCGGTGACACAGCCCAGAGCCTGGGCACTGCCCCGCGGCTCGGCCTTATGGGAGTAGATGGTTTTTCCGCCAGATCACCCTTCCCAGGAAATTTTGGGCTGCGATGCCAGCCGCAGAAGCTACGTAGGGAAAGGGTCCCACGGGTATGTGAAAGGGCGTACAGAGCTAGAGTGTGCCGGCAGGTGAAGGGGGCTGGTGGGTCCGAGACAACGTTCAGAGTTTGCGCTGGGACCGCTGGCTCTGGGAGGAGCTTTGTGTGACCCGGACCGAGCTGCGACCGCCACCCCCGCTGACGGCGCACGAGCCCCCGGAATTGGAGACGCCCCTGCGCACCGCTGAGCTCCCGCCGGAACTGCCGTCCAAGCCCAGGCCCCCGCGGCTGGCTCTGCTGCCCCGGCCTCCGCTGCCCAGAGCCCCGCTGCCCAGACCGCCGCTCCCCAGACCCCCGCTGCCCAGGCCTCCTCGACCCCCAGCTCCTCCTCCCAGGGCGCCGCTGCCGCCACTGCTGCTGCTGGTCGTGCTGTGAACCATCTCTGCAAAGAGCATTTGGGGTCAGCCAGCTTCTGGGAGGCCGGTCCAGCCCGCCCACCAGTCCCGCCAACAGTCCGGGAGCCAATCCCCTCCGCCCACCGGCTCTTCCCCTGGGTACCGCCCACTAAGGTTTTGCGGAGTCGGATGAGGGCCGGCCTCAAGACAACGGGGCAGGGGAGGTTGGCTTCCCCCGCTGCCACCCTACAGGCTCTACCCAGCCTGCAAATGGTGCATGCAGCCCACCAGCGCTGGCCCACAGTCTCCCCCCGCCGCCCCACCCTCGGTTTGAGAAACATTATCCCAAGGCATCCAGCCCCTTTCCGGAGAAGGAACCCGGTACTCACCGATGCTCACAGAACTCTGACACTCTCCAGACATCCTGTTGGGGAAGACCAGACCTCGGTGTTAGCATCTGTCCTGGAGCCTCCTTTCCTTAAATACACCTTGCTTAGGTCAACAGCAGTGAAAGCCTTGGTCCCCCCAGCTCCTTCCTGACTGATGCTGACTGTAAGAAATAGGTGCTCAAAATGCCATGACATGCATTCCTCCTCCTGTTGTGTAAAGTTGGGTTTAAATTGCTATCCTTGACCACTTCAAGAGGATCAGAGCAGAGGGTCATTCGTGTGTCTACCCATACTCTTCCTGCTCCTCAGGAGCCTATAGAGTAACTAATGTTTATATCTGTACCTTTAAAGGCCAGAGCCCTATAACCAAGTGCCAGCCTACAGAAACCCACTCTTCAGAAACCTACTATTAGGGCCTTACAAATAAAGAAATAACCTAGAAATAGTGTTTATGCCTGTGAAAGTGCAAGTCGCTCCGTCATGTCTGACTCTTTGTGATCCCATGGACTATACAGTCCATGGAATTCTCCAGGCCAGAATACTGGAGTGGGTAGCCTTTCCCTTCTCCAGGGGATCTTCCCAGCCCAGGGATAGAACCCAGGTCTCCCACATTGCAGGCAGATTCTTTACCAGCTGAGCCGCCAGGAAAGCCCAAGAATACTGGAGTGGGTAGTCTATCCCTTCTCCAGGGGACCTTCCTGACCCAGGAATAGAACTGGGGCCTCCTGCATTGCAGGCAGATTCTTTACCAGCTGAGCTACCAGGGAAGCCATTATGCCAATGAGTCCTCCTCTTTTCAGACATGTACTTTACAGCTAAAATATGAGACATGAAAGATGGAAAAATCTGTCCAAGATAAGTTTCTGGTGATGTCACTATTGCATAGAAAGCACAGCTCTCCTGGAGGATTGGCAGCATCTCAAAGCCCTTAAAGGGGTGGAAGTGAGGGGTGGGGGCGGAATGGGCCTGCTGAGGGCTACCACTATCTCCAGCAGTGCACATGCGCATGCTCAGGCAGGAAAACCATCAAACCTCTCAGCCTCCTGGAAACCAAAGGGATTCCAACTAACCTGCACTCCTCGCCCTCCAGGAGGGTCCGGTAGGTAGCGATCTCAATGTCCAGGGCCAGCTTGACATTCATCAGCTCCTGGTACTCCTTCAGCAGCCGGGCCAGGTCCTCCTTGGCCTGCTGCAGGGCAGCCTTGAGATCCTGAAGCTTGGCATTGGCATCCTTGAGGGCCACTTCCCCGCGCTGCTCTGCATCAGCGATGGATGTCTGCAGGTTGGCATTCTGGGTTGGGGAGGGACCGGAAGTCCAATTTAGGTTCAAGTGGATTCACTGAGAGCCTGCCTATGTGCTTGGCACTTACACGTGGATCACCTCTTGTTGAATAAATGAGGAAACTAAAACCCAAGAAGAGGAAGCCTGGGCTTCAATCAAAATCCTAATGCCTCAAGGATTGGGATTAATACCATCTGGCCTCAAGGACCTAGACCAGCTCAGGAGTCAGACTCCTCCTATACCTCTCTTCTCTTTCATGGTAAGAGTCTAAGCATCTCCTGAAAGCCCTCCTCCTCCAGGAAGTCTTCCTGAATTATCCAAAGAATTGTGTCTCTGCCCTAATCCAGGTCAATGTGAGCTACCTTGGCTATTCTCCCAATTTGGTCTTCACACAGGTTCTTTCCCCAACCTCCCTAATTATGTCTGAACTCAACATTTCTGGTCTGCATCAGCCTCCAGTCTCCAGGCAGGCAGGATCTGAGTCCATAAGACATAGCCCAGAAGCACGCCCCGTCAATTTTAGCATGCAAGTGGTTGAGACGTGAGTGCTGAGTCCTGAGTTTATGGTGCAGGCATCAGCCCGCAGTCTCAGATGAGTGCTCCTTCTTCCTTCCCACCTGCTTCTTGATGCTCTCAATCTCGGCCCGCAGCCTCTGGATCATCCGGTTGAGCTCCATAATCTCACTCTTGGTACTCTTCAGGTCTTCTCCGTGAATGCCAGCTGTGGTCTGCAACTCACCCAACTGTACCCGAAAAGAGTCACACATTCAAAAGGCCAGCAGGGCCTACTACGGTCCCCTACTCTAACCCTTCTGCGTCACAAACAGGAAAACCAAAACAGAGTTAGGGCCTATACAAGGTCAGCCACTGGAGGAATCACGTGCTCTGTCCTCTGAGTCAGGGACACATCTTCCAGCACAGTCTCTGCTGGGATTCTTTTGAGCATTTACTTTGCCCCAAGCCATGTGCTTTACCTCATAAAACCTCACAGCTCCCTGGTGAGGAAGGCATTATTATCCCTACCTTATGAATGGGAAAACTGACACACAGATTGCTTGAGTACCATTTCTAAACTCTCCAAGTTATCAAGTAAGAGGGCTGAAGCGTGAATGCAAACATTTCAGAGGCTGGAGCCATCTCTTACCCAGCAGGCTATACTCCTGGGACAGAAAACTCAGAAGAGCCTGATGCTTAAAGGGCTAGCTTGGGCCCCTTTCAGATCTGGGGATGGGAGAAAGGTGTACAGAGTTCCCCTGTCCTCTAACTTTCCTCAGTCTCCCTTGCTCTCTCCCCACTTCCTTTCAGACTCTGGCTTCACACCCTCAGTGTGATCAGATCAGAAGCAAGCATGTCAGGGCACAACTGGGTGCAAGCAAAATGGAAGTATCTCCAACAATAAAAGATATGCAGCCAGAGGGCTTTAGATTAAGGATTTCTCAAGCTTGGCACTAGTGACATTTCGGACAGAGTAATTTTTTGTTTGGTGGGAGAAAGGTGTCTCATGCATTGTAGAATGTTTAGCAGCATCTCTGTCCTCTACCCACCAGACTCCAGTAGCACCCCACCCCCACCCCTAGATGTGACGTTCAAACCTGTCTTCATACATTGCCACATGTCTCCGGGGGGAAAATGCATACCTCCCTGGTTGAGAAGCACCAGGTTCGAGCAATGTCAGAGCTCTCTGATTAGGAAGGGAGATGTCTGGTAGCAAACCAGCCTAGTAGGAGGGAGATGAGCCACCATGCTGGAAATGGAGAGGAGAATGACTCTGGAACAGACTCGGCCCTCCTGGGGAGACGCGATGGTGTCACCCACCTTGGACTGGTACAGAGCCTCAGCCTCAGCCTTGCTCCTCTGGGCGATGGCCTCGTACTGGGCGCGGACCTCGGCGATGATGCTGTCCAGGTCTAGGAAGCGGTTGTTGTCCATGGACAGGACCACGGACGTGTCGCCCATATCTGACTGCACCTGGGACAGCTCCTGCAGGGCCAGGCAGACACGACCCCTCCTGAGCTCGCCAGGGGACGCAAGCCACCAGCTCAGGAGGGAGAGTTCTGGACCAACTGAGGGACAGGTGAGAAGGTGTCACTTCCATCAGAAGGATAGAGAGGTGAACCTTTTTCTCTAGGAGACAGGAGGCAGGTGGGTCATGAGGCTTGGGGTGAGGGGCAGACTTACAGCATCATAGAGGGCCTTCAGGAAGTTGATCTCATCTGTCACACTGTCCACCTTGGCCTCCAGATCCACTTTGGTCATGTAGGCAGCATCAATGTCCTGGGAGAGAATTCAGTCACATTTCCCTCTGATCTGTGGGCTTAGCCCAGTCCTGGGCACTGAGGGAAGGAGCGGGGCAAAGGGATCACAGGGGCCTGCCCCCCCGCCCCCCCAGAGCTCCCAGTCAGGGGAAATGAGATATCCATCCGGGCACAGGCAGACCTGGCCTAACATTACCAAATAGGCTGCCTTTCAGGCTGGGCTGGAGGACCTTTCTCAGAAAACAGCCAAAGAGGCTGTGAGGGTGAAACGAAGAGCAAAGACTGGGCTGGGGCCAGTACACTAAGACGGGGTGAGGAGAATTTGTGAGGAGGGTCTGGGGGAGAATCTACATCAGCAATATGCAAAGGTTCTCTCTTTTTTTTTTCCAAAGGCTCTCTTTAAACTGCTCCTGGGAATACACTCCTGAGGTAGGGGGGAGGGATATATGTATTAATATATATTCCTTCTCTTCGTCCACTTTCTGATCACAACTCAAGATCTGATGGGATTCATAGACCCACAGGCCCATTAGGAGGGAGCCACATGGCAAAGTCTGATGAACCCTTTGGACCCTCCTCCTGGGAGGGGAGCCGCCGGGCCCTGAGACGCCAGGCCCAGCCCGTCCCAGCTTGCTGGGGTGGAGGGGCTCCCTGGCTCCCTCTGTGGCCCTCCCTCACCTACATGGCTTGAAGGAGACCCTCAAAATAAGAGGACTGGACTTTTCCTCCCCTCAACCTCATAGCACCCTATTCAGCGGGGCTCTGGGGTGGGAGGTGGGGGAAAGACCCTTCACCTTCTTCAAGACGACAAAGTCATTCTCTGCCGCAGTGCGCTTGTTGATCTCCTCTTCATATCTGTGAGAAAAGAAGCACTTTCTGGCCCATCTTCCCCAGGAGGTCACCGTGGCCTCAGAGCACTTCCCGCAAGTAGCGCAGACTCAGGGCTTCTTGTCCTGTCCTTTAGCTCAAGGCCAATGCCCTTGCAGTGCACCACCTTCCAGGTTCGGGTGAGACCTGGTTTTTCTACAGGCTTCACTGAGGGTAGAGCCTGGAACCAGCTCAATGTGCAGCAATATGGGAGCCCCACGGGCTCTAGGTAAGTACTTCCTGAACTCATGAAAACCAAGAACGGCACTACAAATGTGCCAGGTCTTATTCTGTGAATGACACGTATTAACTCATTCAGGCCTCACTACAGTGAATAAATACTATCACTGTCTCCATTTTTACAGATGAGAAGACTGAGGCACAGAGAAGCTAAGGAGTTAGTCCAAGATCACAGGGCTGAAAGTGGTAAAATAGATCTTGCCCAAGGCACTCGGAGTCCAGAGACCGTACTCTTGACTTTAAGCTGCCTCTCACTCAGAAGCCTATTGACAAGGGAAATACAGCCCATATTTGGAGGCAGATTTGGAGATGACCTAGTCCAGGGAGGATGGAGGGTGTTGCCTGAGTCTACATGGTTTGCAAATGAACTTCAGAGTATCTTGGAACATCCCCACCAAACTTACATGGATACACCCATTCATTAAATTCTTAAAAGGGTTTCTGCCCCCAAACAAACCATGAGCCATTATTTTAAAGACTGGGATCTTGAAAGTCAGAGAAAATGAGGGTAAATTCCACCCAGTGTGAAGCCAGCTGGAACAGAGCTGGCCCCTCCCACGCTCCAACCCACCCTGCCCCACCCCCTGCCCCAGAAACTGAGCAGCACACACCTTTTCTTGAAGTCCTCCACCATCCCCTCCATGCTCCTCAGCTCCTCATGCAGCTTGTCCTTCTCAACATGCAGACCATCCAGAAAGGCCCTGAGGCTGCTGATGTAGTTCTCGAAAAAAGGCTCCAAGTTGCGGTTGTTAGTGTTAGTGCCAGAGCCCTGCTCCTGCAGGAGGCTCCACTTGGTCTCCAGAACCTTGTTCTGCTGTTCCAGGAACCTCACCTGCCATCCAATAGGAAAAGGACCTCAGGGAGCGGTCTGCAGCCAACTCCAGTCTTGGATGACTTTCCTAGAAACAAAGTTCCCAGGGATCCGCCAGTCCTCCCGTTGGCTTGCATTTTGCCTGCTACGATAGTTCAGTACTAACCCCATGTGGATAGCAGCATCAGTGTCATACAATGGAGGTGGAGCCCTGCTGTGCAGATAAGGAAACTGAGGCCCAGAGTAACCAAGGTCACACTGCAAGCTAGTAGCAAACCAAAACTGAGGTTTCTTGATACCCAGACTGGATGATCTTCCCATTCATTCATCCATTCATTCCTCAATCATTTAGTACACAATAAATAACAGGAGATCTGAGAGCCTACAGCAGATGTAGTTTCCAGGAAGAGATTTACAGTACATCTGGGTGCCCTGCACTAAGGTGAGAAATAGAGAAAACCATAGAGAAATGGCTCTTGGGCTGCCCTAGTCCTAGGAACGAGGGCCCAGATGCACCAAGGATGGGCCCTTGCTGCCAAGCCTGGTTAAATGTAGGGCTCAGTTGCATTTAAATTGAACCACTAGCTAAAGATGTCTCAAACTTTCATTTGCTACAAAACATTTCTATACAAAAGCTCAAAGTCAGCTGTATAAACAGATGGACTAAATATCAATAAATTGACCATTCAACAAACATTTGCAGAGCACCAGGCATGTGTCATGCCTTATGCTGGCCAGTCAGGACCCCAGGACCTGGGAATCCCCCTTCAAAGATGATGAGAGATCCTGCTGAGAAGGTCTTGGACAGTTCTCCACCTTCTGTGGAGAACAGTATTTTCACATAACTTTCTACCTCTCTGTGAATAATTTACCTGGACACCCAGGTGTCTGCCAGGAACTAGTGGGTCACTAGGCTTTGAAGAGCTTTCCCTCTGCAAAGTCTGATATTCCAGTGTTAAGATCAACTTCATCTTCAGCTTTGCCCCAGCCTCTTATGTATGGTGAGGGGACCCCCAACGAGTCCCTACAAACCCTTTAAGACCTGATACTATCCCATGGTCACAAAGAGATCTCAATACCTCATACTCAGCAGTACTGCTGAAACCCTCAGTTAGCAGCTGATCAAGCCTGAATGCTCTCTAGTCACCACAACTATTGTCATAGAAAGCCCGATAAAACCTCGCTTCAACCTCACCTACACACAGATACACGTGTGTACAAAGGTCAGTGGCCAAACACTCACAGCTCTTCATGCTGAAGTCTTCCTATGAGAACCACCCAGGAGGAGGCACCCCTTACCCTCACTCCCTCCCACCCCCAAAAACACTCTGCATCCCTCTCCTTAGACTGACAGTAGATTAATTCATCACTCAGGTAAATATCCAGCTTTGGCAGAGCTGGTCTCTCTTTCAAAGAGGAGCAATTCACGGTTTTCCTGAGATGGAGAAGGAGTTCTGTGTTTGGGTACAGAAGGCAACAGTGAGGGGACATTCATGATGGCAACATTCTCGGCAGTGCCATAGGCACTTCACAGAGTTGTAGTGATGGGACTTAAAGGAAGAGTAGTAGCTCCATCCAGTAAGGGACCCGAGATCTTTTCATTATCTGCCACTCCCTTAAGCAGGCTAACCCCAGAGGGCTGGAGGTAGAGGATGAACCTGCAAGTCCTTCCTTGGTTGCAAAAGGCAAAGAGGAAGAAGAGGCCAACCTCATTAGGACAACCTTTCTCACTGTCTGGGAAGAAGAGGCCAACCTCATTAGGACAACCTTTCTCACTGTCTGGGAAGAAGAGGCCAACCTCATCAGGACAACCTTTCTCACTGTCCGGCTGTCCCGAGGTGGGCTCACCTTGTCGATGAAGGAGGCAAACTTGTTGTTGAGGGTCTTGATCTGCTCCCGCTCCTGAGTCTTTACTTGCCCAATCTGGGGGTCGATCTCCACATTGAGGGGCTGCAGGAGGCTCTGGTTGACAGTCACTTCCTGGATTCCCCCAGGGAAGCCACCAGGGCCAAAGCCACCAGGTCCTCCAAAACCACCGGGTCCTCCAAAACCACCAGGTCCACCAAAACCACCGGCTCCTCCAAAGCCACCAGCCCCTCCTCCGAAGCCACCAGCTCTTCCTCCAAAGCCACCAGCTCCCCCTCCAAAGCCCCCAGCTCTTCCACCAAAGCCCCCACCCATCCCTCTTCCACCACCTCCAAAACCACTGCCTCCTAAATATCCCCCACTGGTGTTCCCAAACCCTCCAGCCCGGATGCTGCCTCCAGCCACGCTGATGGAGATCTTCTTGTTCCCCCCCAGGTTGTAGAGACTCCTGCTGCCGAAGCCTCCTCCCATCATGGCACAGGCGGCAGACCCACCGCCACCCCCGCCTGAGCGGGAGGCCAAGGAGGACTTGGTGGAGGTGACCCGGCTCTGGCCCGACACCACGGCTGAGTGCCCGCTGAAGCCCTGACGGCGGCTCCCACTGGAAGACCTGCAGGACTGTTGGCTGTAGCTGGCCTGACGACTCATGGTGGACAGCAAGGTATTCCAAAAGGAGAGCGGACCAGAAGGTTGGCGGAAACTCAGAGACCTTCTGAAGCTCTGAGCCAGAGATGGCACTTATATAGGGCTGGGAGCTTGGCTGGCTGATGGTGCCAACCAACTAATTGAGGTATTATCAGCTTTGGTTTGCCTGGCAGAAAGAGGTCAAGTCCAAAACTCGAAACACACCTTGGTAATCACCCCAAATTTCCAAATTGCTTTGTCTCCCCAGGGTTACTCATCTGAAGTAAGCTTCAGTTGGAAGAGGGGCCATCCTGCAGGGCTGGACACAGCCCTAATCCCTGAGAGACTTACCCTCCCATCCCAGGAGTGACAAGTCAGCGTTTCCGTACCTCCTGTGTGTCCCCACGGCCACTCTGCCAGCCCATTAAGCCTCAGAAGTTTACAGGATGGGTGCAGAGCTTCAGTGAGGACCTGGGGGAAGAAGGAGAAGATGGGAGAGGGCTGGGAAGGAGAAGGAGGATGAGGAGGTGGAAAATGCAAGAGTGAGAGAAGCTATAGCATCCCTCTGGGGCTCTTGCCATCCAGGCAGGAAAAGGTACACGTCTGAATCACACAACAGGATGTGTTCTTGACTGTGTGGGCCTTGGATGGACAGCTGGTTGGGGAGTTGGGAAAATAGGGTGCGGGGGGCTCAGGCTGAGAAACAGAGGGATATACAGTGGACTGATAGGAAATACGGACCATAGCCAGGGCTTCCTCAGTGGCTCAGCGGTAAAGAATCTGCCTGCAATGCAGGAAACGCAGGAGACAGGGGTTTGATCCCTGGGTCTGGAAGATCCCCTAGAGGAGGCATGGCAATGCACTTCAGTATTCATACCTGGAGAATCCCATGGACAAAGGAGCCTGGTAGGCTACGGTCCACAGGGTCGCAAAGAGTTGGACACGACTGAAGCGCCTAAGAACACATGCACACACGCACACACAGACCATAGCCAAGGGCTTTGAGGAAGGCAACAAAGAGGGAGGGGGGCCTGTGGGGAAAAGAAAGCTGGAGGAAAACTAATCCAGGAAGGAAGAGTGTGCAGACTACCTGGTCCAGGTCAGAGAGACCACCAACCTTTCCTATTGCAAGCTCACATTAGAGAAATGAATCCAGGATTTCTCATTTCTCCTCTCAGCTCCCCTAAGATACACCATCTACACCACCTAGGAAGCTTGAGTAGCTCCCTGGGATAGCTATAAACAACATCCACTTGCAGCTAGGCAGGGTCCGGTTAACTTGACTCAGACCATAGGCAAGGGAAGTCTCTTTCCATCATCAGTTTTCTAAAATATATTTTTATTTATCATCATGATGTGTATGATAGAGCTAATTACTTCCAATCACATTATGATCTCATAGATTTTTTCCCCAATATTCTTTGCATTGCTCTTTATTCTATATTAGGAACAATCAGGTATCTTTTGACTCAGTGTTCCAAGTTCTTGGGACATATCATCAGTATTTCCCACTATCCTGTTGGGTTCTTGCCTCTTATCTCTGACTCTTTTTCCAGGGCACATTGTTGACTAAAATCCATGAATTCTACAGAAAAATCACTTAATCTGCTAATTTCCCTTTTCTTATCACCATCAAGTTTCTAAAAAAAAGAAGAATGATTGCTATTTGTAAGGTTGTTGAGAGGATGATTATGAGAAAAGTAAACCGTCATATCACTTATCATGTGTGGTATGAATGTTTAATCACTGTTACATGTACCTCCCATTGCCCTTCAGCAGCAAAGACCAGTCTTAGTTACTCCAAGGCTGAAAGTGGACCTCCAGGTGCTCTGGAAAATGTCTTTACTTAAAGAGAAAGAGAAAGGAGATTTCTCTTTCCTCTTCAAATTTGGCCTCCTGTGTCCCCAGATACCTGTTCCTCCAAGAATCCCCCCTCATTTATCTCACCCAGCCCCTTTGTTCACCCCTCACCTTCTGGCTGCTCAGCATATGTGCTTTCAACCAAGAGTGCGGAGTAATTGCTCCCCTACAAGCTCACTGGGAATCGAGCCAGTTTATACCAGTGACCCATGAAACCTTAGTTCCAGGAACTCTGCTGCTATTTCCTTCAAGCACACAAAGAACCTCAAGTCAAGTGGCCTCGGACAGGGTGGCAAGTGGAGGTTCTCTATGATCCAGGTCTCCTTGGATCACAGAATTCAGTGTCCTCAGACTACCAGATTTTCTACATACACGCATGCACACATACACACACACACACACACACACACACACACAGGAACAAAACACAACATGTACTGTGCATTCACAGTAACCACATATACATGTGTCCATACTCACAAAACCACTCACATACACGCAGACACACTCTCAACACGGTTCCCCGCCCAGCTCTGTCTTCTGCATGAAGCCCTTGATTTCACAAATGGACATTCCCCGCTTTGTCTTCTAAACCCTCATTGCCTGCTTCATTCCCTCATGGCCCTGATTCTTGCCCAAAGCATCTCACTAATCTGAGAAACCAAGAGACAGCAACTGGGTCCAAACAAAGGCACAGGCTGAGTTAGGCAGCCCTGTCCTACCCTGACTCAGCTACACCCGGGTCTTCTCTCTGCTGCTCAGCTGCCTCTTCCAAACAAGGAGGGGGGCACACCTGAGCAAGGGCTTCATGCAGACCTACTGAAGCCCAGGGTTCAGAGGAGGACGGGGGCAGGAGGAAGGGGCAGCAGCAGGCAGTGCCCCAGCATCGTGGCCACCGCCATCTCAGCCCGCTGACATCCATGAAGGCTGGTCCACCTGGTGAGAGTGGGGAGGGTGGCCTGGTGACTGGGTTGGGAGACGGGGACTTTACAACACAGCACATACAGCCACTCTCATTGCCGACCAGTGAGGTTGATCCTGACTCCAAAGTCCAAACAGTGTTTTGGATTCAAGTGTGGCTGATGCCCTCATCCAAAGAGACCCTGAGAATGAGTGAGGAAATGTCCCACACCGTCTTCCTGTCCCACGTGCTGTGGTTTTCGGTGCTATCACAAGGAAATTCTTCAGAACAATTAGCTGATTTCCACCCCTTGGCAGCTGCCAATGCCAGGGCCCAGTTTGAATATGCTGAGAAGTCAGTTTGCATTTTAAACATCGAGAACAAAGTCCAAAGAGCATGAGGTGGAAGTCTGAGACTCTAATGAGGGCCCAGCCCAAATCTCTTATTCCTGACAAATCCCACTCTAATCCCCCACACCCACAAACTATAAAAGCCCAGCCGCTCTCCTCTGACACCTCTTGGAGAGAGAAATGGTGTGGTACTGGCCGGGAGGTGCCACCACTGAAAGCAGTAGGTGGGTCTTTCTAGGAGGTGAGGGCACAGGGGTCCCGGGAGAGACACGGGGCCCACACCACCTCCTCTCCGTGGTCACAGCTGTGCCTCCCAGGATGGCGCCATGACCAAGGCTGCCTCTGCTCTGGGGAAGCTGGGCCCTCACTGGGAGAACTAAGGAGGAGGCAGAGGAATTGCTGCTGCCCACAGGCAGTCCCGGCTTCTCCGGGGACCAGTGCACTCAGAGTGCTCGGGGCTAAGGACAGGCTTGGCAACACAGGGCACAGCAGCCGGGCCAAGGACAGCGGGTGGGAAAGAGCCAAAGAGGGAGGAGATGGGGCTGCACCAAGACAGGGGACCCTGGGCTGGGAGGCCTGGCAGAAAAGGCAGGGTGGATGGTGCTCTGGGCAGAGCCGGCCCTAAGGTCTGCAGTCGGAGGGCATGCTGCTCCACAAGGAACCATTCCTTGACACTGAGCTCTGAGCTGAGTCTCCCCAGGGAGGGGCCAGCCCTGTTGCATCCGGAGCTCAGGAAAAAAAGTCTAGGGCCCAGCAGCTGCAGTCTTAAACTTAGCTCAGTCCTAAAGGAGAGGGCCCTGAGGGACAGGATGGCTTCCTCACAGTGCCCATACTCTCCCACCCGGGAGTCTGTCAGAGTGATGCCACAGGAGGTCCCCCCGGCCAGAAGCAGGAGGCCTGAGCCCCAGGCTCCAGACCCCTCTGGGCCTCCAGTTAGCCAGTCATGAAATAGAGCTGATGCACCTCTGCTCTCCCGATTGAGTACAGAGGATGGGAGGTGAGTTATGTACAGTAAAGGGCTTTATAAACTGAAGAGCGGGAGTCCTGTGTTGACTCAGGGATTTCTAATAGCAGAAAAGCAAGTCATGGGTGCTGGCCTCCATAATTAACACTCTACAGACTTCTCCCTACTTGACCCTCTTTGCAAACCTATAGGGAAGATTTGTGGCTCCATTTTACAGGTGAGGAAAACTGGGGCCTGGAAATTAAGTAACTTGTTCAAGACCACAAGTGCAAAGCCAGGCCTCCGACTCAGTTCTGTCCCAATCTGGAGGCCATGCCTGTGGCCCCACAGGGCGTTCTGCATCTGTTCCTGCCCAGAGCTCAGTGCATGGAGCAAGCCCCGACTCTGAACAGTTGATGGGATTTGATCACATTTTGGAAATGGCAGGTAAAACCAGAGCATGGAATGGGGAGAAGGGTCACAAAGACCACCACACGTTTGTCCAGGGATGGTCCCCAGGAGGGCGCTTTGCATTATTTCCCCCGCAGAGGTGACAGTTTGTGCTGAATTATTCCCCTCCTTCCTGGTCAGGCCCATGGGCTGGATTTTGCAAACTGGTGGACCCCAGTCTGGAGCCATGGACCACTGAGACACTAAGCAGTTCCCAGCTGGTGACTGTTGCCTCTCTCAGCCCTTGAATGAGGCCCTAGTGTGAGCCCGCCCCCCTCACCCATGCCCAGCCACCACTTTCCACCCACTCTGAGGTGGGAAGACTCTGAGGACTCACTTCCCACTCCACTCTGAGGACTCACGAAGCCTTCTCCCCCTTCCCTTTACACCCCAAACTGATGCATCATTTAGGAGCAGCCTGGCCCCATCACAATGCCTCATATGACCAGCCTGGCCCCTTGGCCTCTTATGTCCTATAGCACCTGGAACGCCTGTTGCACATACCACATCCGTAAATCAG